TCTGGAGCCCCTGCGACTTACAGTGCCATGTTCAGGCCCCTCCCCCGCCAGGAAACATGTCTTTATGTTAAGGCTACATATAGAGCATTTGGTGTTGCACCCTGGGCTCTGTTCTACTGGCCTGGAGTCTCTTTAACCCCTTCACACCTAAAGGGTAAAACAAATCTTAATGCCCAAGTACAATTTTGCAACTTTGACATGTGTTAGCAAAACTGAACATATCACCACAACTACTTTGTGCATCCCAGTGGATTATACCTTGAATTTTCAGGACAAACTGGGCTTTCATTAGGTGGTAAATGGTAATGGATATCTCCTGATTTTTTTTTTTATCAAAGAAAAACTGACCCAAAATAGTAAAAAAAAAAAAAAAAAATGTTTTAATTTAGTTGTATATTTCTTGCTACTACCATAACCTACCACCAAAGAACAACCCAAAATAATTTCTCCTGCTCCTGACAATCACAGCGATACCACATATGTGTAAGTTAGTTGTTGTTTGTACCTAAAGTACGACTCAAACAATATTGCGCATTTTGCTTTTTTTTTTTTTATCCTGCCACTGACATTGACCCTGATCTTAACCCAAACACTAACCCTGGCACTTTATTATTTATTGAATTTTTTTACAAACTTTTTTTTTTCTCTCTCTGAAAGGACAGAGAGATAGAATGCATCTCTTTCCTCCATTCAGATACAGAAAATAAGGGGGGCAGGCTTCACAATGACTGATAACTGTGATATCCAACCAGACTTTCACATCGATCATGTGACCCAGAATCCGGAGTTGTGGGTCCTGATCGTTAGAACAGGACCCAGGGCTCTCATTGAAACCCTGGTCTTTGTGCTGGGAGCGCACCATGTGGCGCACTCCCAGCACAAAGGCAGGTGCGCAAATTAGCAGCCCCACGGAAAAAAGACCAGGCCAGTGGGGCCGCTAATTTGCGGACGCTTGGTGCCACGGGGAATAATCTAAGGGCTGTATTTTGTGTGTGTATATATATATATATATATATATATATATACACACACACATATATATATATATATATATATATATACACATATATACATACATATACAGTCAGGTCCATAAATATTGGGACATGGACACAATTCTAAAATTTTTGGCTCTATACACCACCACAACGGATTTGAAATTAAACGAATAAGATGTGCTTTAACTGCAGACTGTCAGCTTTAATTTGAGGGTATTTACATCCAAATCAGGTGAACGGTGTAGGAATTACAACAATTTGCATATGTGCCTCCCACTTGTTAAGGGACCAAAAGTAATGGGACAGAATAATCATAAATCAAACTTTCACTTTTTAATACTTGGATGCAAATCCTTTGCAGTCAATTACAGCATGAAGTCTGGAACGCATAGACATCACCAGATGCTGGGTTTCATCCCTGGTGATGCTCTGCCAGGCCTCTACTGCAACTGTCTTCAGTTCCTGCTTGTTCTTGGGGCATTTTCCCTTCAGTTTTGTCTTCAGCAAGTGAAATGCATGCACAATCGGATTCAGGTCAGGTGATTGACTTGGCCATTGCATAACATTCCACTTCTTTCCCTTAAAAAACTCTTTGGTTGCTTTTGCAGTATGCTTTGGGTCATTGTCCATCTGCACTGTGAAGCGGCGTCCAATGAGTTGTGAAGCATTTGGCTGAATATGAGCAGATAATATTGCCCGAAACACTTCAGAATTCATCCTGCTGCTTTTGTCAGCAGTCACATCATGAATAAATACAAGAGAACTAGTTCCATTGGCAGCCATACATGCCCACGCCAAGACACTACCACCACCATGCTTCACTGATGAGGTGGTATGCTTAGGATCATGAGCAGTTCCTTTCCTTCTCCATACTCTTCTCTTCCCATCACTCTGGTACAAGTTGATCTTGGTCTCATCTGTCCACAGGATGTTGTTCCAGAATTGTGAAGGCTTTTTTAGATGTCGTTTGGCACACTCTAATCTGGCATTCCTGTTTTTGAGGCTCACCAATGGTTTACATCTTGTGGTGAACCCTCTGTATTCACTCTGGTGAAGTCTTCTCTTGATTGTTGACTTTGACACACATACACCTACCTCCTGGAGAGTGTTCTTGATCTGGCCAACTGTTGTGAAGGGTGTTTTCTTCCCCAGGGAAAGAATTCTTCGGTCATCCACCACAGTTGTTTTCCGTGGTCTTCCGGGTCTTTTGGTGTTGCTGAGCTCACCGGTGCGTTCCTTCTTTTTAAGAATGTTCCAAACAGTTGTTTTGGCCACGCCTAATGTTTTTGCTATCTCTCTGATGGGTTTGTTTTGTTTTTTCAGCCTAATGATGGCTTGCTTCACTGATAGTGACAGCTCTTTGGATCTCATCTTGAGAGTTGACAGCAACAGATTCCAAATGCAAATAGCACACTTGAAATTAACTCTGGACCTTTTATCTGCTCATTGTAATTGGGATAATGAGGGAATAACACACACCTGGCCATGGAACAGCTGAGAAGCCAATTGTCCCATTACTTTTGGTCCCTTAACAAGTGAGAGGCACATATGCAAACTGTTGTAATTCCTACACCGTTCACCTGATTTGGATGTAAATGCCCTCAAATTAAAGCTGACAGTCTGCAGTTAAAGCACATCTTGTTCGTTTCATTTCAAATCCACTGTGGTGGTGTATAGAGCCAAAAATGTTAGAATTGTGTCAATGTCCCAATATTTATGGACCTGACTGTATATATATATATATTCAGAAGTGTTTGGTGGGTACATCTGTGTAGCACACTTTTGGATCACGGCACAGAGTTTTGTCTTGAAGTGACACATTGATGAAAGCATGGGTATTTTGAAATATTTGTGGACTATATCTTTTTAAGACCTTTGGGCACTTACAGTGCTCAGCATAAATGAGTACATATCTTTTGAAAAAGTAAGATTTTAATCAATATCTCAATGAACATAAGAACAATTTCCACAATTTTGACAAAACTGAGTTTTATAGAACATTTGTTTAGCTCATTACATGAAAGGTTAATAATATAACTTAGATTTCAAAATCTTCAGTTTTACTCAAATTAGTTGATGCAAAAATGAATACACCCCACAACAAAAACTACTACATGCAGTATTTTGTAAGACCTTCATGATTTGTCAAGTCTTATAGGCATGGAATGAACAAGTTGTTGAAATATTGCAACATCTTTTTCCATTCTTCAAGAACAACCTTTTTTGGAGTCTGGATGCTGGAGAGTGATGCTCAACTTGTCTCTTCAGAATTCCTTATAGGTGTTCAATTGGGTTCAAATGAGGAGACAAACTTGGCCACTGAATCACTTTCACCCTGTTCTTCAGAAATGCAACAGTGGCCTTAGATGTGCGTTTTGGATCACTGTCATGTTGGAAAAGTGCATGACGACGATGACGAAGGGCACTGAGTGATGGTAGCATCTTCTCTTTCAATATGGAACAGTACATCTGTGAATTCATGATACCAACAATGAAATGCAGCTCCCCAACACCAGCAGCACTTATGCAGCCACACAGAAGGACACTACCACCACATTTCACTGTAGGCACCATGCATTTTTCTTTGTACTCCCCCACCTTTGCGACGACATACAGTTTTGAAGCCATCAGTTAAACATTTATCTTGGTCTCATCACTACAGAGTACACAGCTCCAGTAGTCTATTTCAGCCTGGCCCTGGCAAATTCCAGGCAGGCTTTTTTTTGTACATGGGCTTCAGGAGAGGCTTCCTTTGTGGACGACACCCATGCATGCCATTCCTCTGCAGTGTACAGCGTATTCTGTCACAGGAAACAATCACCTCAGTTTGGCTTTCTACTTTAGCTAACTGCTGTGAACTTGCATGGTGATTTTCTTCAACTCTTATCAGAAGGCACCCCTGTTGAGGTGTTAACTTCTGTGGATGGCCTGGACATCTCTGTGAGATGGCTGCAGTTCCATCTTTGTATCACGTTTGCTACAGTATTCTGACTGGTAAGTAAAACATTGCTTATCTTCTTGTAGCCTTTACCTTTCTTGTGTAAAGAAATGCTTTGTGACATTTCTCTTCCATGTGGTTCCATTGCTGACAGCATGAAATGGGAAGGGGTTTTCTATGTAAAGTAAACACACTTACATAATCAACTGTCTGCTGGACACCTGTTTAATGAATAACTAGACTCACCTGTAGTTGAATTCTTGTTAATTATAATTTTGGTGTCTAAACTTTAGATTTGCTTCAAATATGTTCATTGGGTTGTATTCATTTTTGCAACATGGTGAATTTGTTAGGAAAAATACTTTGCAAACAAGATTTGTTAATTTGCACACAATCAATGGCCCGCATTAGTGGGAGGAGTATTCTGTAGTATAGTGTCCCATAGAAAATGTTGATTCTGAAAGGAAAGTAAAGGTTTTATGACAAATCTGTTGGGGTGTACTCATTTATGCTGAGCACTGTATATATTTGAACTGAGTACACAGAGTCACTGGTTGGCACTAATTTATACAACATTTGAATATTCATTCATACTGAAACAGGATTTTGTTCTGTTATAATTAACACATTTAGTTTTTGGTTATATTTACCTCAACACCTACACTTAGCTTTTCCTTTCTTCAGGCACAAGACCAAATTATGTTCTAAAGAATTTCTACAAGTTATTCAATTTTAATATGTTTTATTTTATTCAACAATTCCTTACAAAGGAAAAAAAAGAAAAGAAAATATTAGATTCGCCAAATCCCTTGTGACGTTCCACAGAACCAAATAATGCTCTATACATCCAGTCAAAGTCAATAAATTAAAGGAATTTACAGGAGCAAGACACAGGCCTTTCACAGTGACGGGCAGAACAGAAGATAATAGTCCAAGACAAAGCATTTGTGGCATACAGCAGGACTGTGCATTGATTGGTCCTGTCCACTTACAGCATTGTGAGAGACTTCCCTTAGAGGGAAAAAATAAAAAAGAAGTAAACTGAGGTGGGTAGTTACAGCACTTCACACCCGTACCTCTATGAATTCCAGTTTGGCAAGGCCCTCTTCTCGGGCACAAATTCCCTCCTGTTGTGCACACATGCGGGGTGGAGGGCTTTCATGGCGTTGTTCAGGGGGGGATGGTGGGAGAAGGTGGGGAGAATCATACTCCTCTGATGCCAGGTCTGGTACATCATCAGATTGGGCATCAGAGCTTTCCAGATCACTGCGAATGCTCTCTGGCTGTGCCAATGTGATGTCACAAGCAGTCGCTTGACCCCTGCAAGCATCATCTTCCTCTCCCTCCACAAGAGGGGCAGAGGCATGCAAAGATTCCTCAGTGCTGCTCTCACTCATCAACTGGTATCGAGAAGGTTTGGCCTCAATGTGAACTTGAATCTCCATGTTATTGACCTCCCTGCACAGAAAATATTAAAGCAACATGTCATTAATGTAACTCATTAAACAGTTTCATTACACATTATATTAAGGGCTTGTTCACACTAGCTTGCCAGCTAAAACAACCAGTGCCGTTCTGTATGGTCAGTATGGTGCTTTGGCTTTTGATAATGCAGGGCAAGGTTTACGTTTTTTTTTTTCTACAATTCATTGAAATGTCACAAATCAACATTTTCATTAATTTCTTTGAATCACAGATTCACAGAAAAAGACAAGATAGGCAAGATTAATTTCTACATATGTTGCAGAAAACAAAGAAACCACCCTCCCCCAGTTTGAAAACATGAAACGCAAACAAGCGCTCCAACCTTAGCTTTCCTAAAGTTTATGTATAACACAGCTAAATAATTTAATGGCTTACACATTCACCATAAGTGTGGAGGCTTTTCTCACAATGGGAAGCAAATGTGACAAATACTCTTTCACCACTTCCCATCTGGCCCATGTATATAAAAAACGGCCAGACAGGAGCAGTGCAGGGGTGGGCCCCCTGTTTGTGCGCGCTCCCTGGGACACAGTGGAACACCGATCTTGTACAGGACCTTTGTGTGAGGTTCCGATCATGTGATCCCTGATTGGCCAATCAGTGATCACATGCAGAGTAGTAAGCAAGATGTCACTTCTGACATCATTGCTTACTATGTGTGAAATCTGAATGATCACAGAGGTCACATGGTACAAGACTATTCACAACAGCCTTGTACCATGTGACAAGCTGTGACCAATCACAACTCACACAGTATTTCTTAATGGCTGCAAGAATGCAGCCAGAGAGAAGGAGAAATGATTGTTTTTACACCCGTAAAAGCAATCAGTGTTAAAAAAAAAAAATCTTCATAGCCCCCCACAAGCAGTACAGCGTCACTATGGTGACAGAATGTAAAAAAGAAAAAAAAAAACCCGCAAAACATAATAATAATATAAAAAAAAATAATGTACAAAAAAAAAAAAACTAATTTGGGGTTTTTTTTTGCTAAAAAGATAACTGAATACATTTTGGCCAAGATTTATGAAGAAAGATTATTTATTTGCAAAATTCTATAAGAAAAACACTTTTTTTCAAAAGTTTTGGACTTTCATTTATATTGCAAAAAAATTAAAAAAAAATCCCAGTGGTGAATAAATACCACCAAAATAAAGTTTTATCTGTCTCAAAAAATTACTAAAAAATCCGTATGGGTACAGTGTTGCATGACCGCGCAATTGTCGCTCAAAGTGTGATGGCGCTGAAAGTTGAAAATTGGACTGGACAGGAAGGAGGTAAAAGTGTCCGGACTTCAAGTGGTTAAAGTGGTATTAAACTCTGCACTGCTGGAGGATTCATTTTGAGGCAAGTCTTTTATAATGTGCTAGTATGCGATGCATACTAGCACAATATGCCTTTACCGTGCAGGGAAATATTGTATTTTTTTTTTTTTTTTTTTTAAATCAAGTACAACACTAGGTTCAGGCACAGCCATCTTTAATTTTAACTTTTTCCTTTTTGGCTGCATTTCCCCCCCCCCCACGCATGAGATGTGCATTTTTAACCTGATGATTACCTAAACCCTACGAAACATTTTCTAAAAGCAGAGAATCTGAAAAATAAAACATGGTAGTTGCAAATGATTATTTTTATTGCACAATATTTACAACCATTTACCAAACTAATATTTAATATTATTGCACAAAAACACAATATATCTACTAAATTTTGTAAAAAGATGAGGAAAAAAAATACAATATCCAAAACTGTCCTTAGGGGACACTTTAAAGCATTTACAGCTCATCAGTTTAGAGTAAATCATAAAATTACTCTTCTCACTCTGGCTGCACATGAAGCCGTTTAGTATCACAGTTGTTTTGCTGTTTTTTTTTTTTAATTATAACAGAAATCACCCAAATAGCCTGGAATGTTTGACCATGGTACAGACACAGACACATGCTAAAATGTCAATTAAAAGTTAATTTCCCACATCTGTAGATTTTAAATTGCAATTAGTGTCTGGGAAAAAAAAAAAAAATATATATCCAAAGCCTTAACCATTTCCATACCGGGCACTTTTACCCCTTCCTGCCCAGGCCATTTTTCAGGTTTCAGCGCTCTCACACTTTGAATAACAATTGCACGGTCATACAACATTGTACCCAAACTAAAATTTTATAATTTTATTCACACAATTAGAGCTTTCTTTTGGTGGTATTTAATCAACGCCGGGGTTTTTATTTTTTGCTAAATTAACAAAAAAAGATTTTGAAAAAAAAAAACAAAAACAAAAACAAAAAACACGTTTTTCTTTGTTATAAAAGTTTGCAAATAAATATTGTTCTTCATAAATTTAGGCCAAGATGTATTCTACTACATGTATTTGGTGAAAATAACTCAAATTAGGATGTATTTTTTAGTTTGTAGGAAAGTTATAGAGTTCACAAAACTATGGTATAGATCTGAATATTGATCAATCCTGAAGTACTGACAGCCAATCTAATTTCTTGAGGTCCAAGAATGTCAGAACAGTAAAGATATCCCCCAAATGACCCCTTTTTGCAAAGTAGACAGTCCGACGTACTTCACAAGAGGCATGGCGAGTTTTTTGAAGGTGTATTTTTCAGAAAATGAAAATAAAAAAAAAATATTTTCACAATTTTTTTTTTTTACATACTGTCACCAGTGCAGTACAGTGTCATCATAGAACTGGCATGGCGGTGATCAGGGACACTGACTGGTGACAGTATAAAAAAAATATATATATTTTTTTTATTATTTTTAATTTTTTTTTACTTTTTTTTAAGATTTTTTTTTCATATTTCACTGTCCAAAGTAGTACAATGTTACCATAGTAACATTGTACTACTTTGGGGAAGTGATCATTTTTTTTTTTTTTTTTTTTTTACACAACTTGCTTATAGCAAAGAATTACTTTGCTATAAGCAAGCATTTACCTGAATGACATCGATTCATTCAGGGTTTTTTTTTTTTGTGATTAGCTGTGATTTGGCCACAGCTAATCACATGACATGTGCATGTGATTGCTGTGACCATTCACAGCTAGACACTAGTATACAATGGATGGCATGAATGAAGCCATCCATTGTATACAACTGTCATGTGACCTGCTGTGATTGGTCACTCAAATCTGTCATCGGCCGTGTCCGACGTACACGGCCGGTGACAGATCGTGCCGCTGCACGGCTCTGCAAGCGCAAAAACTGCGCATGTGTGGGAGGACGCCATATGGCGTCCACCCGGAAATCTACAGCCTTTTCCCGGCCACCAAACAGCTATTGGCCGGGCGGCTATTGGTTAAATATGCCAGTCAGTACTGTTCAATCACATGAACCTCAGGAGGAATACAGGCTGCTCTGGAAAAAGACGGTGTGGTTGTTTCAAGGAGCACAATATGACGATACTTGAATAAAATAAGCTGTATGGTTGAGTTGCCAGAAAGAAGTCTTTACTGCGTCAATGACGCAAAAAAAAAAAGAAAGCCCAGTTATATTATGTCCAGCAACAACTTGAGACACCTCACGTGGCCTTTTTGTTGCACTGGCGCAGTAAAGGCTTATTTCTGGCAACACGACCATGCAGCAAATTTTTGTTCAAGTATCGTCATATTATGCTTCTTGAAACAACCATACCCTGTGGGTTTTTCTTGTATCCCGAGCAATTCTTCTGGCAGTTGTGGCTGCAATCTTTCTTGGTCTACCTGACCTTGGCATCAAGTGATCCCCGAATTTTCCACTTCTTAATAAGTGACTGAACAGTACTGACTGGCATATTCAAGGCTTTGGATATCTTTTTATATTCTTTTCCATCTTTCTAACGTTCCATAACCTTGTTACACAGGTCTTTTGCCAGTTCTTTTCTGTTCCCCATGGCTCAGTATCTAGCGTGCTCAGTACATCCACATGAGAGCTAACAAACTCTTCGACTATTTATACACAGACACAGATGTGTGAAATGAACCTTTAATTGCCATTTTATCCAGTGTGTGTCACCCTGTGTGTCTGTACCAAGGCCAAACATCCCAGGGTATGTAAACTTTTGATCCGGGCTATTTCTGTTATCATAATTTAAAAAGCAGCCAAGCAACTATGTGGTAATAAATGGCTTAATATGCTCACTCTCCTTAAATAAAATACAGGTTTTTGTTTAGTTTTTCATTAACAATGCTAAAATTTCACAATTCCTGCCAGGGTAAGCACACTTTTCAGCACAACTGTATGAGGAGGTGGTATATATAATAGCATTATACAAATAACAGGTACTCTTTAAGGGGACTTCCCCATGGGCAAAACAACAGTGAATGTTCAGGTATACATGAGGCAGCAATTTAATGATCAGATACCTACAAATGACTATGATAAGATGCTTGCAAAACCCTTTCCATTTTTATCATCAGGGGGCGGGTGGAATTCTGCATGAAATCTGTAAGAGAAGTGGTATTTGCTGCAGCACTGGAATGGGTATGGTTGCTTTTAGTTTTTTAGAACCGGGAATCTTACTGGAGTGGGGGAAAGCAGAAAGGGAGGAGTTTCTTCTCTGACATATACACTGTTTAGTATACAGTCTGTAAATTTACTGGGCCCCAAAGACTGAAGACTATGATGTGAGTGAGTGATGATGACGTACCTCTCCTGTGGGTTATATGAACTGATGATGGAACCAGCCATTGCTCTTGTGCTGGCACTGTCACTTACAGCTCCCAGGCTTACAGAATCTTTCTGACACGTGTCTTTCTGCACATCAGCCTGAACCTCCAATCTGTATAATGGATATTTTAGTAATATAAATATCATTAGGGACATTTAACCAGCCATTAAAAGTGCAAACAAGTTAATGACAAGAAATCCCAAACTTATTGTCTTATACTTTATTTCTCTCTAGCGTACACATTATAAATACACATCAGTACATATATAAGGCTAGCATTAATAACTGGACTTTTCTCATTCGGATTTAAGATTTAATGTATCTGTATACATTATATCACCATGTTATAAACCCAGCAATTCATGTAACATTGTCCTATTAAAAGAGCCACTGGTTTCCATTTTGGATAAACAAAAAGCTTTAGATATCCAAAAATCCCAAAGTGGTACTGAGTAGCAGCTGATCTCAATACTAGGTAATGGTTTCATGGATAGAACCTAGGGTCATTTATGACTGATCTAACAGCAACAATTATAAGTCACATAGGGACAATACCTGCAGTACTTGGCTCTCCCTCCACTTAGCATACCACCAGTTAATGTGCCACCAGTTAAGGTCCCCCCAGAAAGAGCAGCAAAGCTGGCCGTTTCACTGTAGTTTCCCTGTAAAACACTTAATCCGTCCGTGGGGCTCCCACTTGTACTTAGCACACTGGTAAGACCCTCCATGCTGCTCTCCCCAATACTTGGGTTTTTCAGCGCACGCCATGCATCTGCCACTACAAATGGAAAAATTAAACAAATTAAAGTGCACAAAATGACAGCTTTGAAAAATATCTAGCATGGAAGAACTTCAGTTTTCAGTACAGAATCCTGTCAGGTCATATACAGACTTTTCACAATTCATTTCTAATGTAATTACCTGTAATTGGTCCATCCTCTTCAAAGTCAATTTTTACTCCTTTGCCATTGGCTGTGCTTACACCACAACCACCTCCACGGCATAGGGACACTGGCACAACTCCATACACATAAGCTAGCATGATAGGAACACCAATGCCTGGAAAAACAAAAAAACCAAAAAAAAAAAAAGATCAGGACAAAGAAGGCAATGGCAAATAACACGTTTGAATATAATTTAACACGTACCAACACTGACTGCTGCCACAACAGGAGATGCAATTACAGATAAAATAACCCCTCCTGTCACAGCCAAATTCTTCTTGTGTTTAGAAGTTTTTTTGTTTTCAAAACGGCCATGGATCTGCAGATAGAGACCTAATATTGTAAGATGTCCTAACCTATCAGTGTATAATCATAACAGAATCTGTTAGTACACTGTATTTAGAAGTATAAAAAGTATTACCAGCACCACAGGATAAAAACTAACCTTTCTGCCCACATAAACAGGGATCCCAATGACCATAGCAGGTATGGCAATGCCAGCGATCAGTGATATGCCAACAGGAGCACCAATTAGAGTGCCCAACTGCCAAATGATTTTCTTCTTCTTGCTCCATGGCTTTTTTCCCCAGAATGTGCACCCTGAGGGGCTGTAAAATGTAAAAGGGGTAAGAGTATTAAAACAAGTATTACGTAAGGACCAAGGCAAGGAATAAATCTTAGATTTACCTGAGGTAATGGAGGTCAGAGATTTCCTTCATACACAGCCAGCAGAATTCACAGCCACACACAGCACAGGGTCATGTGATTACAACTCCCATCATTCATCTTGATAATGTAAGCACTGCACCGAGGGCAGGATTTCATATCATCAGCTGGAGAGAAATAAAAAATAAATAAATTTAAGCTTCAATAAAAAAAAAAAAAAAAAAAAACCATATTCAAAACATAAAACTCTTACAAGCATGTAGTATTTTTCATAACAGTACCGGCAATGATAATGAAGTACGGCACTAAATATAGAAACCAAATATGTATGGCAAGCTACTGCAGTAGTGGTCAACTTTCTTGATAGAGGGGGGCTGACATCACCACACAATATTCAGTGAATGTAACATTAACTGGTTGCCGAACGTATAAAAACGGCGACAGGGTGGCACCACTGCGCAAAATCACATTTTAAATCGTCACTTTGCAAAACAGGTAGGGAGCGAGCGACCGCCCTACCCGTGGTCACCGGGTCCCGACGATTGCTGGCAAACAGTGACACAGAGCACAGCTGCATTGTTTTCAATGCAGCTCTGCTCCCTGTCAGTTCCCAACACACTGTTCCTGGGAACGGAGTTTAGCTCTCAGGATTAGTGTGTTCCTGTAAAGTACCCCCGCCCACTAGTAAAACACTCCCCTCACACAGTTAACCCTTTGATTGCCTAAAAAAGTTAACCCCTTCCTCCCCAGTGCCTTTAGTACAGTGTCAGTGTTTTTTTTTTGCACTGATCACTGTATTGGTGTAACTGGGGATGTCAGTGACCCCAAGGCAGTTCCCCCCAGTGTCAGAATGTCCGCCGCAGTCCCGCATTAGGTCGCTGATCGCCGCCATTATTAGTATAAAAAAAAATTAAAAATCCAGTATCTATCTCGCCATTTGTAAACGCTATAACTTTCACATAAACCAATTAATTTACACGTATTGGGATTTTTTTTTTTTAACAAAGACATGTCGCAGAATACATTTTGGCTGAAATTTGACAAAATTAGATTTTTTAATTTTTTTACTAGACATGTTTTATAGCAAAAAGTCCAAAATATGTTTTTTTTTCTCAAAATTGTCCTTTTTTTTTTTTAATAAAGCGAAAAATAAAAAAATGCACAGGTGAATAAATACCACTGAAAGAAAGCTCAATTTTGTTTCTCAAAATGTCATTTTTTTATAGCGCTTAAAATAAAAAACACACAGGCGATTAAATACCACCGAAAGAAAGCTCAATTTGTGGGGGAAAAAAGATGTAAATTTCATTTTGGTGCAGCGTTGCATGATCGCGCAATTGTCAGTTAAAGTAACGCACCGCCGTAACACAAACCGCTTATGTAACCGCTTCCTGACCGCCCTATCACAGAAATACTGCTACAGGGCGGCACAGGTGCGCAAAATCACATATACACACATATATACATATATATATATATATATATATATATATATATCTCCCCGTGATTGGCGCTCTCATGGTTTTCACGCCCCTCCCAGATGGCGTCAGATTGCCCGTCAGTACACCAGTCATCACATTTAACCCCTTGATTGTCAGGAAGACACTCATACACAATAAACCTCCATTGCTAGTATAGTGTCTGAACGGATCAATATCTTTGACCAGATCAGCACTATACCAGCGTTCACATTAGTATAGCGTCCCCAAAAACGCAGCATTAGCAGGATCAGCCCCGGAAACCGGCATTTAGCCCCTACGCTTACCCCCCCTTCTCCCCCAGCAAGTGCAGTGTCAGTAGGTCACTGTCACTTGATACATTGCACACAAAACAGCAGAGTGTTGGCAAAATTAGGCCTGATCTCTGTTAGCACTTGTCGGTAAATTTTGATGACTCTCATATGCAGCAGAGTGCCAGTACTAGTACCGTGCTACCTTTTGGTGAACTGGTGACACCAGCGGTCTAGTACATCCTGGTCTTTCACATACCTCAGATTGTAAGCTCCCAGGATCAGGCCCTCCTAGCCCTCTTGTATTGAATTGTATTGTTGCTGTATTGTCTCCCGTTATATTGTAAAGCACTGAGCAAACGGTTGGCACTATATAAATCCTGTATAACAACAATAATACCAGCACTGCAGAATGACTTGGCGAGTCCCATAAGTGTAGTACAAGCTGGTGAGGTGGCGAGCACAAGTATTGTGCGGATTTACGAGGGAAAAGATAGTCACGTGCAGCCCCCCGGATGACCAGACTACATGGGGAGCAGTGGGAAGATAGTTTGGGACTTGGTGTCATCCTTCTCCATATGGGGTACTACTTATACATGGACAATTTTTATCAAACGTGCCACTATTTAGACATTTGTACAATCTTGGAACTGGCACATGTGGCAAAGTGTGACCTAATGTGTGCCCATCATTAGAAATGGGTGGATGCAGGGCGGTATATTCCAATGTGGACATACCACACACTTTTTCTGGCAGAGATTTCTTCTCTTTTTTTCCCCATTCAGTCCACAGGCTACATACAAAAAAAAACAAAAAAAAAAAAAAAAAAACAGCATATACAGTAATACCTCGGTTTACGAATGCCTCTGTTAACGTAATTTTTGGTTTACGAATGAAAAAATCCATTGAAAATAATGCCTTGGTTTACAAATGTTTTACTATTTTTTTTTCCCAATACTAAGAATATTAAGAAACTGAAAGTAAACATTGTATCTTTTAACTTGGGGAAATAAACTAAAAGAAACTTTCTCTCTTTCTGCTGGAGGGGGAAGTAACTGCTGAATTTCTGAACTAATGTATAGTGAAGGGGAAAAAAAAAAAAACAGCAATTACATTTAAAAACTAGCACCTGACAGCTGAGTGAATTACCTGCAATTAAAATTTTTCTTACATTGCAATATTAACACATGGTTGTCACTACTAAAATACTGCATGAGTTAATAAAATAAAATAACTCATGCAGTATTTTAGTAGCGTTCACTGTTTTTCTGACCTTCTGAACGGATTAATTGGTTTTCAATGCATTCCTATGGGAAACAGTGTTTCGGTTTACAAATTTTTCGCTATATGAAATGTCCTGCAGAATGAATTAAATTCGTAAACCGAGGTACTGGTACATCACTGAACTTTGAATGGTTATACCAGGATGATGCCTGCAGCTGCAGGCATCTTCTTGGTATCGTTTTTTTCAGCCAGCGATCGACTTTCATGTAAAAGCAATCCTAGTAGCAAATTAGCTGCAGGATTGCTTTTACAAGCGGCAGAAGATGATGCCTCCCCCACTGCCTTCCACGGCCTTCTCGGGCAGTCCTGTGCCATCAGGGCAACCTGAGAATGCAGCCGGTGTTTCTGCTAGCTGACCATAGAGCACCAAAATGGTGCCAATCATCTCTATAGCCTAAGAAATCGGAAGATATGAGCATTTCATCACTTCAGTTTCACAGGATATAAACAGCGCCATTTGTAAATTGGGAAAGCACCTGATCACACCGATCTTGGTTTGATTAGATAATGTAAGGGCAGAGGAGAAATCCAGAGTCTGATAGAACCCAGATTTCTCAAAAAAGAATATATGACAATGCCCATTGAAGTTATAGGGGATATTTGCATTCCCTGTGATAGCATTAAAAGTGATCAAAAAAAAAAAAAAAAAAAAATGAAGGGACAGTGCAAAAATAATAAAAAATAAATAAAAATAAGTACCCTTGCCCCCCTGCATTTGCATTCGTGAGCATTGAACCTGTGCCAGTATGGAAACAGCGGTTGTACCATGCATGTGAGGTATCGACACGAACGTCAGATCAAGGGCAGTAATTCTAACACTAGACCTCCTCTGTAAATCTAAAATGGTAGCTTGTAAAGGCTTTTAAAACGTATGCAGTTTGTCGCCATTGCACAAGGCATGCACAGTTTTAAAAGCATGTCATGTTTGGTATCTATTTACTCGGCATACCATCTTCTTTTTTATTTTACCATATAATTGGCCAATATTTAGTGTTTTTGTGCATTAAAAGTAAAAAAAAAGTGTATTTTTTTCTTAAAGTACTAGATGACATAAAAAATTGCAGCACCCAATATTTTATTCACTAGGGTGTTTGCTTTAAAAAAATATATAATGTTTGGGGTTTAAATTAATTTCCTAGCAAAAAATACAGATTATTTTCATGTGAACAAAAAGTGTCAGAAAAGGCTTGGTCTTCAGGTGGTTAGAAGAGTGAGTGATGTGTGGCATAAACTTCTAATGCTGGGCATAAAATGCCCCCACCCACCAAAACTACCCCTTTTTGGAAAGTAGACACCCCAAACTATTTGCTGAGAGGCATGTTGAATCATTAGAAGAATTAATTTTTTTACCACAAATTTTTGGAAAATGACAAACAAAAAATTTTTTTTTTTTTTTTTTTTTTTTTTAATATACAAAATTGTCACAAATGATTTATTGCTCACACATGCCATGGGTATATGTGGAATTACTCCCCAAAATACATTCTGCTACTTCTCCCAATCATGAGGGTATCACATGTGAGAGATGTTTTGGCAGGCTAGCCAAGTACAGGACCCCAAAATCCAATAAGCACCCTCAGGCTTTAAAAAGGGCTTTATTTCCTCATTACACTTCCTGAGTATCACAGTTCCGGAGGCCTTGAAATGCCAGGATAGCACCAACCCTCACCCCCCCCAAATGACCACTTTTTGGAAAGTAGACACCCCAAAGAATTTGATCAGAAGCATGGTGAGTATTTTGCAGATCTCATCTGTTGCCACAAGTTTTTGAAAACTGAAGAAAAAAAAACAAAAACATTTTTTCTTTTATTTTATATTTCAAAGCCTTGAGAGAAAAAATGAGATCTGCAAAATACTCATCATGCCTCTTTTTAAATTCTTTGGGGTGCCTACTTTCCAAAAAGGGGTCATTTTGGGGGGTTTGGTGCTATCCTGGCATTTCACGGCCTCCGAAACTGTGATAGGTAGTGAGGAAGTTACGCACCTTCAGGCTTTCAAAGTGATCATTGGATTTCAGGCTCCTGTATGTGGCTAGGCTCCCAAAAAGTCTCACACATGTGGTATCCCCATACTCGGTAGAAGTAGCAGAATGTATTTTGGGGTGTAATTCCACATATACCCATGATTTGTGTGAGAAATACATAATTTAAATGA